GCCTGGCATTCAAGTCCCTGTTTATTCTGTGATAGTTTCATGAGATTCTGTGTATCCTTTGTAGAAGCCTTGCAGTTCTAAGAGATAAAAATTAGGATGTAGTATCCAACATAAGTGGGGATCAGAAAAAGTATTCCATGCTTAGGCCAGAAGTTGACAAATTCATCTATAAAGAGCCAGAGATCAATATCTTTATGGGTTGCAGATGGCCTGCATTGCATCTTGTTTTTTAATAACCTTTTTAACATGCATAAAAAACATGCTTAGCCCGTGAGTTAGGTGGAAAAGCACATTGCCTTGCTGGCTGGATTTGGTCTACAGACAGTAGTTGGCTGGTATTCAGACTGAGAACACACACAGAAGCACCCTGAGAGAAATGGTCCACAGGAAGAAAGATGCCACTTGCATGAGCTATAGGGAGTTTTGCCAGTTCTGAGTCACCCAGCTAGTCCTCTACCATTAGAGAAAGATGACCTCAGGCTCATATAACCACAGGCACCCGCCAGGAGCCAATAAAAAGCTGTTCTAGAGGAAGATAGCACCGTGGTCCATAGAAATGAAGGCTTCTATGTGATTTTTCAAATAAAACAAGCCACAGGAGAAAGGTGTAAAATAGAATCAATTCTCTTATTTTCTCCATATCTGGATGGATTTTTCACTACACAAATGAACATAGTTAAAGCTTAACGTGTTCCTTTTTGATGGGGCCAACTTAAAGAACATTTCTGCAGATGACTAGAAAGTGCAAAAAAATCACAGAGATCTGAAAGACAGCGAAATATGAGTTCTACAACAGAAAAAAGTAATCAAGTTCTGTAATTGTCTGATTTAACAACTAAAAGAAAGAATTGGTGAGTGAAATAGGCAGGAATTCAGAAGAAATAACCCAAAAGGTAAGAAACAAAAGGGATGGAAAATGCAAAACAGATGTCAGGAGACAGCGAGTACAGACAGGAAACGGAACATGTATTTTAAATTAATGCCCTCAATGAGAAGTGAAAGAGAATGGAGCAAAGCGAAATTTGAGGAGCTAATAGCAGAGAACTTTTTCAAGTCATATAAAAAGAATATAGGCAAAATGAAGACTTCAGAGTAACAAAAATAGAGAATTCTACGCAAGCAGATTTCAAATAAAAAGCAGTATTCATATAAAAATATACAGTAGAAGCAGGGAAATGTAGGAAGGAATAGAGTGGATCTAGCAGAAAATATGGGTAAATCTAAACGAACACTTTAAAGTGAACATGAAAGCAGCATATTGCATATATTCATGGGTATCTGTATTATGAGTATCTCTCTAGATAACTGAAATGCACCATTCTTAGTGGAAGGTCTGTACTTTGTTGCTGAAGAGGTAAAAGTTTGCATTTAGCAACACGGCCTGGAGTATGGATATATTCATAGAAAAATTTTAAAGTGAAAAATTAAACAGCAGATTGTTTAGAAAACAAATATATATCAGGCCGTTCAAAAGCATTCAGGGCAGTGGTTGGATGAGGGTTGGCATCAGTGTGAGCGGGCTTTCAACAGGGCGGTGGATGGGACAATTGGAGCCTTAGGCACTGTGTGTTAGTTTCATCAAAATGTTGTATCTGCACAATATCACTAAAACAACGCAAGTAAAAGTGGTTTATAACATGCTAAGACATTAATAAGTAATTTAGAAATCATGAGACATCAAGGGAAAAAGCTCCTAAAATCAAGCTAACATGCCAAGAACTCCCCAGAGCTTTACACAATTCACAGAAAAGAGTGGAACCACCAAAATAATGTAGTAGTTAGACTCATAAAGCAAGGTAGATGTTGCTGAATAAGATTGTGTTAACGCACTGGAGAGCAGTTGTAAGTGTCCAAGAACAACTTTTGTTCTTTTCTTAGTACGTGTTTGTATTACACAATGATTCCACACCTTCCGTGGCGTTGGTGCGTGCACATTGTGTGTCTTAGTGCTTTCTGCTCCCTCTTCTCCTCCCGATCTCTTGGCACTATCTTTCTTGCTCCTTATTTAGATTTTGGGTTTCTAACAGAACAGAAACTGATATTTAAGCTCACCTGTCTGATTGATTTCACTTTTTCCTGGCAAGCTTAGCAAGGTATTTTTAGGCATTCTGGGTACAGGAAGTCAATGGGACCCTGCAGGCTGGGCTCATGAGCAGAGGTGTGAGGGCACCAGATTTGCTGCACACAGTAGGTTACCTGTTTGTCACGTTTAATTCTTGAAGCCTGTGTTACTATGAAAATGTATGTGCATTAATTACATAGTCATATAATTAATTTACATAATTATATAATTAAGTACATTACATGTAGTTACTATACTACACTTACTATATAATTGTATAGCAATTGTAATATAAACACATTGTATGTTATTAACAATACAGTATATCAGAACTGACTGCAATCTCACTGTATTAATCTCCACTTTGTATGCTTTAATTTTGTAATCTGGACAGCTGTTTGTAAGATGACAATGTGTGGTCTATTAACTGGTGAACTCTTACTGTATGTTTTTTCTCTTGAAATTCTGTGTTGCTTCTAGCCTTTTACTGTCTTGCTTCATTTAGTGTTGTTTTTCTCTTTAAATAAAAAAAACAATACAGTATATCATATATGAAATAGTATATATGCAGTATACTTATTACTATATAGTCATTATATAAGTATGTATCCACTATATTTTATACTTTATATTAATTATATAATATTATGAATTATTTGTATTATTTATGATGATTATAGTGTTAATGCATTTTTTCTTGTATTAATATATCTATACATTATTATAATTGTATACTGTTGTACATTAGTTCACAAATTTAATTCGTTCCACGATTCTAGACAAGATGGCTGCATTTATATTTGTCACCTGACGCAGAGTATGTGAACACAATTTTTTTTTTAATTTTAAAGAGGAAAAAATAAAACAAAAAAATCCAGCCAAAAAAAAACAGGAAGCAAAAGACATAAACAACAATAACAAAACACCAAAACAATAACAGTATAGGCTTTCAAAACAAGAGAAGCCCCGGGGATTTAGCTCAGTGGTGTAAGCACCTGTCTGGCAAGCGTGAGGTCATGAGTTTGACCCCTGGCAGCAAAAAAATCAAAACAACAACAAAACCCCCAGGAATTTAACAATGGTTGTTGTTTTGCATAGTTATCTTCAAAAGAGTTGCTTAAATTATCAGATATAGACATGCAAAATTAATCTAATCATATGAATATTAACTGTTCTGTTCCAACAACTAATAGAATTTGTAGTAAAATCATCTTAGCTGTCTTTTGTGTATATACATACATATATATAAATTTATATATTTTTTCTTTTCCCTTCCTTCTTTTCTCCTTTTCCCTATTTATTTTTCCCCTTTGAGAAGTTTCTTACTTTTCCACAATATTTATTGAACATTTTGGATCTTATTTACTCTTTCAGTTTCTTATATTAGGGAGACAGTACAGTATTTATACATGTGAGTCTGATTTATTCCACTTGTGGTATGATGGCAGGTCACATCCATTTACCTATAAAAGCCTTGATGTGATCATCCTTTACAGCTGAATAGTACTCCATCACATAAAAGTACTGCATCTTTTTTATCCACTCTGTGGTCAGTAGGCATTTTGGTTGTTTCCAAGATTTGCATATTACATATTGTGCTGCTGTAAACATGAGTGCACATATATCACTGTGGTATGAAAACACAAAAAAATTTTATCAAGTACCTCTGTTTGCAAACCAAATTATCTACAAACAAAAGTGTTTGCGAACAAAGACAACACTGTAATTTCATAACAGATTTTACATTTGATGTGATTTAAATGTTTATTATATATTTATATACTTATATATTTGTATATATACATACATCTAATACATATTTATATATTTCCATATACATTCACATACAATATTCTATCATCTCTACTACACAAGGGATGATTAGAATGTACAGTGAACATTTAAATTAAACAAATACTTATTACATTAAAAGATTTATTGCCAAGAATGGTGGGATAAAAACATCTAAAGCAGGCAAGAATACTCTGAATATTTTGAGGGAGATTAATGGCAATGCATCATTCAATGTAAACCTTCTCTGTAGTGTTTGATCAACCCTCATTGATCAAATGCTTGTGGCAATTTCTGTAAATAAAAACATTATGGTGTGATCTCATCTAGCTTATTTACTTGATATGGCACCATGCAAATTCTGAGTTTTCCCCCAAATCAAAAGGAGCATGAATGGTAAAGATTTTGAACCAATTCAAGACGTTGAGCCAGCCATGACCATGCAACGACAGACACTCCTGCAAGAAAACTTCCAGATCTGCTTCAGAAAGTGCCAAGAATGAAGCCTAAGTGTGCCAGAAGCAAAAGGGAGTATTTTGAGGGTGACTGATGATGATGTGTCTTTTGCTGTAATCAATTAAAAATTAAATTAAGTAATTTGAATATCACATACTTTGATCACACTTGGTAATTATTTATATAACTATATTGTACGCTATGTTATCATACATAATAAATACTACATATAGAGCATGTTGTATATGATATAAAATTCTGTATTGTATTTGTTTATAAATATGTATAAAAGCATGTTCTATAATATATATCATGTAAAAACTTATACATAAATAGCAATGCTGTATGTAATGAACCTCCATATTCCTGTTAGATTAAATCATTACAAGAAGTTGTGACACAGGCTTCATGTTTTCTCTTCATCTCTTTTTGTTGCTGATGTAAGGTAGATGATTCAAATACAAGAGTAGAAAAACAGGAAAAAAGGATTTCAAAGCTGTCTGAGCACAGAACGTTATGCTCAGGCGTTGGAGAATTGCACAGCCGAAGAGAGGCAAGTGGGAGACCTGACTCTGAGCTGATGGAGAGTCAGAGTTAAACATAAGCTAGGTTTCAGATGAGGCCTGCTGGCAGAGGCGGGCGTGGGAGCAAGGAGCAGAGCAGCAGAGGACAGGTCTATCTGGACAGAGGACGTGCGTTCTGTAAATGCTGCAGGTCAAGTTCCATAACCCCTTCCCTCACTAGCTAGCCCCACACCTGGTCACGCAGTTAGTTAAAGTCTTCAGAAGAGTCCCCGAAGAAAGACACAGCAAGCTGTGTGAGTGTATGATTCAGGTCAGTTGCTGTGACAGCACAAGAAGCAGGACTCGGTCAGCAGGTAGGTCATTTCACTGAAGGGTGTTGGGGAGGCTGGGAAACAGAAAGCGGACATATATTGCCATCTTGCCGGGAGTGTGACTTCTTGACTGTGTGTGGGCACTGCTCCAGGAGAGATGGGCCAAGGGGAAGCAGGTGAAAACAAGGGCATGCTTTGCTTCTTGGTTTTCTTTCTCCCCATAGTTCTCTCATTTTAGCTGCAGGTTAGGCTGGTCCTGGAGCCAGAACTTGTGGCCTCGCTTTCCTATAGAGTTCAGATTTTTATCAGTTTAGCAACTGGTTGTGGAGTCAGCATTTTACAGCTTTTCCAAATGATTCTTTTTTTGTATTTTGTGATTCTTTTGCACAGCCAGAGTTGAGAATCATGGCTGGATCTATTGTGTCTCTTCCAGAGGCGCTATATTGAAGTTGTGTAATGTAGAGATCATTTCTCATTCTTTTCATACCTACTGAGGTGTCTTACAGTTACTGTCTTCCAGTTATTTAATAACTATGTAAAGCTATCTATTAGTAACTCATATTTAAATAGATGCCTTTTAAATGTTTGGTTATTCCTATAGAACATACTGTGTTCAAACACTGCTATCCATCTTTTTGGTATAGTGGAGTCAAATGCATTTTTAGATGTACACAGGCTAAGGATTCTCCTAAGCCTCTGTGTGGTAACCTGCTAATTCCAGTGTCTTGTTATGAGAGAAACACTCTTTGTTATCTCCTCCATGGTTTTTTCCTTTGCTGATGGAATATCAGTCTTGTCTAAGGAGTAGTGTATGCAGTCTAAACCAGTTACAGAATCTCATTCTGATTGACCACTGACTGGTCTACAGAGAGATGTATGTGGCATTTTTTGGTCTCCTAGAAGTAGGAGAAAGCTTCCACGCAGTTAGTAGAGTCTTCATGTTTAAGACAGCGATGTACAAAGGAGTTGTTTGCCCTCTTCCCTCCTGTTGTGCTTCAAACCTTATGCATAAATGTTTGGAGCCACAGGAAATATCTTGTGACCAAAGGCAACAGGGATGAATACAAGGAATTTGGTTTGTGGACTATAACTTTGAGCACTCAAAGCCTGGCTCTACTTTCGACTAGATTTTTTTTTGTGACTAAAACACATCTTTCTAGTTTAAACCATTGTTGGCCAGAATTCTGTTACTTGCACTGTAAAGCATCATGTATTGAACAAATCCCTTTTCATTTTTAAAATAAACTCCCACATTTGTAGGCTCTAACTGCTTATAATGAATTTTTTCGTAATGTAGAGTGGTGGAGGAAAAATGTGCAACTTATAGATAGAATGGGTAAGTAAAATTTATCTGAGTTATACAATATTATGTAGTCAATAGGAAAAACATTGGGAGGTATTTCTACTAGTATTTATTAAGTGATAATAACAAAAGGCTGAAGAGTGTGTTTGATTTGATCTTATTTTCATAAAACAATCATCAAAAGAGGAAAAATCCCTAAGATTGTGTCCAGAAGTATGCACTGGCATAGAGTTAGGGTTAGAGTTAGGGTTAGGGTTAGAAGTACAGGTGATTGAATTTTAGGTGGTTACAATGGCTTAAATGCTTTTGAGGAGAGGGTGGTCGCTGAGATCTTATGAAGTGATGGGACAAGAAGGAGGAGAGTTACAAACAGCTCCTCATTATAATAGAAATGCTTTGTCTGCATCCTACCCATCTGGCAGATACCAGACTTAAGAATTCTCAAATTTTCATTTCCTTTTTGTCAACAGTAGCCAACTAATGGTGGTAAATTACTAGTGGAATTTAACACTGGATTATGCCACAAAATAAGCTTTCTGGCTGGGAAATATTGACCACTATTAAATTCTTAATAACATGAATAAGGTCTACAAATAGGAAGTGATGTCACAGTGAAACATTATTAGATCACAATATATGATATGTTTTATTTTTGTTGTTTAAATGTCCTGGAATTTTTATAAATGAAAATTATTTATTCAGCAGTCCAGGTAACTAAGGAAGGATAGTTTACTCCAAGCTCTGGAATCCTATTTTTCTAGGTTTGAACTCCTTAAATAGATTTTCACACTGAATATTAAGGGATTGAAGGGGAAAATACCCTCTAATGAGTGTACTAAGGGTTTTCTATTGGCAGTTCCCAGGGGAGGCTTTAGGTACCAATCTTTGTAAAGCACCTCTTAAGGTAAAGGCATGTAAATGCAGGGATCAAGGTCAACGTATTGTGTTGGTAAATATAATGCCAAGAGATGTGCCTTATTCCCTTTCTCTGCTGTTACCCCTGAGTCCTTCTCAGAGGGAGATTTTGGAAGCTACCAACAACACATGAACACAACAGCCTTAGAAAATGGAGTGATGTTCCCATTTTATAGATAAAGAAATAGAGTTAGAGAGGTCCCATGGGATTCAAATTTAGGTCTCATTACTTCCAAGTCAGGTTCTCTGTTTAGTATAATTTTTTCTCCTTACTTGCAAACAACTGAAACCACTTCTGGCTGATTTTCATAGAGAAAGCATTGAATGTGAGTGTTGGCTAGCTTACATGATCACAGTGAATTTGAGAATATCAGTCCCAGGACTGTGCAGACTGAAAATGGACTAAGGATACTACTTTATTGAATGCTATAGTTGGAACCACTGATGATGGGCCACTGGATGAGAGATCCTCTCACTAGCACCACTGTCCCTGCTATTCCACGCCTGCCCCTGTATGAAGTCTTGGCCTAAACGTGTGGCCTTTGAAGCTTTTCCATGCAGTGGAATAACCTGTCATCACACACACACACACACACACACACACACACACACCTCAGAGATGAGGGTGAGGTGATCTAATAATCCTAGGAATCCTAGGTTTCATAAACTGTACATCTACAGCTAATGCGCACCCAAGGTAAAGTACTGCCTGTATCATCTAGGGCCATATTTGATTACCAGGTTTCATTGACATAAGGATTACTTGGGCATTCATTAAGCTAAACATTCCCCAGTCTAATCTCTGAGTCAGTCAGTATCCAGGAGAGACTGCGTAACTGAAGGATAACCTTAACCAATTCTTATTACCAGGGAAACCATGAAAGTGCTCTTAGATCTGATGCTTACGCTCCTGCAGCCAGTGAGGCTGGCAAAGTGAGTGCCTGACATTTTCAAATTTTCTAAGGGAGCAGTGACTCTGCCTCCTTCCAAGACTCAAGAGGTGGGATCTCCTTGTACCCTGGACAGGAGTTTGTAATCTGGGCCACTAACAAGAATGATCAATACCTATGACATACACACATGGCATCGTTTTTATGGGTTATGCATTTTTTGCTCAGACAGGTTCTTTAATTGTGACTGGAATATAAACACTCCATGCGAAGCCTCAACATCCTTTCAGAGAACACCATGTTATTTCTGTTTCTTAAACTGATTATTACATTACACGTAGAAAACAGAGGCGGTTTGACCTGAATTGGTGATTAAAGAGATTGTGGATAAGCTCTTGAATGTTTCTCTGTTTATGATCTCTGTCTCTCCAACTGAGTATATTAATTCCTTACATGGAGTGTAAGCCAATGTGAAGCACCCCAACTGCCACTGAGTTTAGACATCACTGCATGTTCCTTCACTCAGGAAAAAAATGCCCCACTCTCCACATTGCCAATCAATTAGCTTTCTTTTATAGTAACACTTTTAGGGAGACACATTACTTCTTGTACAGTCAGCTGTAAGAACCTCAGCCAGATAATGATGGCCCTGTAACCATCACAATCACAGGGAGTTACACTAACTTTGAAAACAGTGACAGAGATCTACTGTCTCTGACAGAGATCCCTATCTCCAGGGGAAAAGGCAACCATGATTCATACTACAACTCCAAATGTTCAAAGCTGCACGTTCAGATTCAGTGAGTTTTTCATAATAACATTTGTTAAAATTGCTCCCGGTAACTTTTATAGCTGATTACTTACCCTAAACTCCTACTGCTGAGGGATCCTGATAAAATTTCCATGCCAAAAGTTCTGATTGATATGATACTTTCCCTGCCCGTTTAAAAAGAAGGGCAGACTCTAGGATACTAACAAAGAAAAATTTCTTTCAAGAGAACAGTATGGTGTTTTTGTTTCAAAATATAATTGCTTAGTGAAATAGTGGTTTCTTGACCTCCAGATGGAAGAGGGCCCCAGCTAGTAATCAAAAACATCTCTACATATCTAGCACTAAACAATCAGAGTCACTGTGAGGAATTAGAGTACCATTTACTTCATGCTCTCTTGCTGGGGTCTGGTGCTTAGTAGTATCGGCTGAGGATACAGCCTCAAATTTGTTACCTGAGATTCCAGAGTTCAAGCAAATTGGAATTATTACTACTACTAAAGTGAAGTAACAGGTGAAATGGAGAAGTCACCTGCCTTTTACTCTGATGCTGTGTCCGGAAAAGTTAACAGATGTGTTGATAACTGAGGTCTAGGGACACCTGCAATCACCTGGTGGCAGAAGTGTTGAGAAGTCCATGGTAACTAAATCTCTTCTAAATCCCCACTGCTTGTTTGCTGCAACCATGACAAGGATACTGTCATTTTTCCCCATTCTGATTTTTTAAAATTTTATTTAAGGAAAAAAAGAAAAAAAAAGGGTACAAGTTATGCAGAATTTCAAAAAAAAAAAAATAGTAGGAAATCACTAGTTAATAGATTACATATTGTTATCTTCGAAAAAATTGTTCAAGTTATAAAATTAAAGCATATAAAGTAGACTTTCAAACACTGAGACCGCAAACAGTTCTGTTCAATGATCCAACAAAAGTCAGTAATATGGTTATCTATCTAATACATTTAAATATACATGCAGTTATAACCTTTAGAGCACTTTCTTTTCCTCTCTTTTGTATAATGACAATTACACATTTTGGGTTTTATTGCTCCCACAGTTCTTATTATTTTTTTGAAGAGAATAAGACCAAATGTGACATAACTGAGTCAGTCAAATCAAAAGGATGGACATAATACATACTGTAAAAACAAAATACAATGTGATCAAC